TCGAGACGCTCCGCGCTGGATGCGGTCAAGTGGACGGAGCTGGCATTGGGGAGCCCCAGCCCAGAGATGGGAACAGTATTCCATGTGAGGCTGAATCGGCGCCTTGTAAAGTTGCAGGCGGTGTGCCGGCATGAAGTACTGTCCCGTTCTGCTGAGCACGCCAAACTTTTTAGAGGCCAATTTGGCCTTCTCTTCCAAGTGACCACAAAATTGCACGTCACTCGAAAATGTCGACGCCGAGGATTCCGATACTGGCTGAGGAGATACGACAAAGGGGTTCCTTTTAGCTGTAAACGCGTAAACTTGTATCTTCTGAAGATTAAACTGGACTAGATTTATTCGCCTCCAATCAGAGACTTTATTCAGCAAAGATTCGACTTCAGACACAAGTTTGTTCCGGTACTCGGCGACGTTTTCTCGAGAAATATTGGCACGGCCGGTGTATGGAGCATCACCAGTGCTGTCGTCCGCATAGCAATGAATGCTACCGATTTGCAACCTATCATTGATATGCAGAAGGAACAGCGTTGGTGATAGTACGCAGCTTGTGGAATACCAGCGTTAATAGGCTTGTAATCGGAGCATGCACCGTTTACTACGACCTTGATACTCCGATCAGCCAGAAAACTGGTGATCCAATTGTATAATTTCTCGGGAAGCCCATTGGAGGGAAGCTGTGAAAGAAGCGCTTTGGCCAGATCCAATCGAAGGTCTTCGCTATGTCCAAACTAACCCCTAATGCCTCCTCCATGGACTCGATCGCCTGCGGCCAGCCGCATCTGTGTGTTATGTAAACAAGAAGATCACAAGCTAAGCGACCCCAACGGAAACCGTACTGGCGGTCACTAATCAGCTGGTGCTCCTCAAGGTACCGCATGAGCTGTCAGTCAATAATGGACTCCATTATTTTTCTTGAAAATAATCTATTAATTAATTCATAATTGCATTTCCTTTATGATAAAAGGATACAAAGGTAAGACTTTTGTATAGCATAAGAGTGCCGAGCACACAATCCACCTGATGGGTGGGTGGATACTATAGGACATAGACAAATACATCATATAATTAATTAAGATTTAATGCATTACGTCACTCTCCGCAAGTCATGTCATGGAAGTCTTGAATATTACTTATATTGAAGACTTTATTAGATTTTTCTGTGTGGTGGAGAGGGGGAGGGGGGGGGTTAACTATTTTTTTATTATTAAAAATATTATTAGGATTTTCTTGTCCAAGCAGTTTACATACATAATTACATACATTATAGGTTTCACAATACATTATAGGTTTCAAAAGGACAAACATCCAGATCCGGAAAAATTATTTGTCGGCCATAGTAATTATTGTTCCGTGCGGGGTAAACCGGGGTATTGTTCGTTGCGGGGAAACCCGCGACCATTAACGCTGCAATTCTTTGCTAAGGCGTTGCGCCTTAGCGTCGTTGTATTTTAAGCATTTTCATTTTTTAAATAAAGTGTAACAAGTTACCGCAGCCTGTTCTATCAGTTTCTCATTTCTCGCGATGTCTCTCTGGTAGAAGTCGTCTTTCTCCCTCAGCGCTCGATAGTGACTCATGATGGGGCTGTGCTGTTCCAGGTATGAGTTGTATACTTCTTGCAGTTGTCTAGCATACATCTCTATTTCCAGTTGCTTTGGACGGCACAGACCACGCATTTGTTCTTCGTGCTGTCAAAAAATAAAGAAAGTCTATAAATTTCCATTGTAAGCGGTACTGGCTTCTACTCAACATCGAGGGAGTAACAAAGATCTATAGTAACGGATGCCATTCACATTAAGACATTAAGACCTGAAATTTACAATTAGGCTTTTCCACAAAGGTGGCTCCTACTGGAGGTCTATCCAGAATGTTCGTAGTAGCTATAGTTCTACTCCAACCACTAGATCGCGCATAAGATAAGTTTTTAAAAAAACTTATAAATTTGGCTTAAAATCAAAATGTTGGATGCAGGACCTGAAAGGTCTTACAAAGAGGAAAAATTAAATTGTTATTTTTTCATTGTAATACTTACGGGTAACATAATTTTCAATTAGCCATGGTAATTTCCTGTAATTATTGGGAAGTAGACATTTCCGTTTCTGGCTGTGATGTTGATGTATAAAACAGTGACAGCTATGGCGGATTGAAAAATTTTTCTCTATTGTGTAACAACGTGGGCAGAAAGGGTTAATGTACAATCGATTCTCTAAAATATGGTGTTGTTTTGTTATTGTTTTTAAGATTTTAAGAAATTTTGGGTGCAATATTGTATCTTTTATTATGTGTAATACAATCATATACAACGGTTCACTGTCAAAATAAAATGAATAAAAATGTTCCCCAGACCGATTTTCGGTCACGGCGTCTAGTCTTATCTATCTGCTTAGTACAGGATTATAGTGTATTAGTGTGTGCACAGGTGCACTCTCTATTCCCTTCTTGTCTAAGTTCGATGGGATGATAATTCGACATGTCCGAGGCACCGGTTGAATCACCACCAACTTCTTGTCTCCGGGCTGTTTCTGAGAATTTCTTTACAGAAAAACCCAATAACTAATTTTGGCCTGACCTGAATTCGAACTCGAATCCACTAGACCAACGAGGTAGTCGTAAAAAGAACATGCACGTGGTGTGAAATAAGGTGCATGTGGTGAGGATGTCTGTACTTTTTGTAGAAGTAAATGTGATAAATAAGCACATATTCCACCTGATGGTAGGTAAGTGGTACCGAGATGTATAGACACCTACGTCTATTATTGATTAAGAATCAAAATGCTGATGCATTGCGCCTCTGAGGTTTAAGGTGAAATGTAAAGTTACCAGTTACTAAAAGGTCTTCAGTTCTCTTCACTGACCATACGAAATATAGTAGCATAATGCTGCTATTTCACTCTGGTATTCAGTGCGAGCGTAGTCCTTCCTCAGCCGAGCCGACCGATTCGTACCCATTCGTACTGTAGTTATAATATATACTCTAGAGTGTGAATCTACCAAGTGGTTCTTAAAAATACCAAAAAAGTGGTGGATTTTTGAATTTAAAAAGTCTGCTAAAGAAGTTTAGTATAAGTTCATCAGCAGGTCTTTCCGCCAACACGCGGAATACCCTGCTTATTGATGGACAAGATGCTGATGATCTTTTGTCTCGACTTCTGTCTGTCTACTTAAAATAGAGGGCCCAAAACTACGAAAGTGGCAATACAGAGCAACATTACCAGTTACCAGTTACCAACCTGTGATGATATACCTCACAGTCTGTAAATATACTGCCTTTCATTACCATTTAGACCGGAACACAGTTCATGCAATGCTGGTTGGCGAAAGAAGGGGGATAATACGTATCAAGAAGGATTCATAAACAGAAAAGGAGCCTGACCACCTAGGTTATGAACAGAAATTGGGAACGTCTTTTAAGTACCTTACGCTTGAGGGAACTTGTGACAGAGTTTCCTCTTCCATAACCATACAAAAACTTTTTATATATGATAAATTTAAAATTATTTAATAGCGTAAGTTTAAAATAATTTAGCGGATATCTTCATTGTGGATTCTGACATGCAGAGAAACTACAAACATAGTCGTCTCCATAGCTCACTGAGCGATCTTCTTTTTCCTCTTACATCATTATACGAGAACACCTCAGTCACCTATGTCATAACTGGTAACACACACTGATTGTACTTCCTTGTTTAAAGATATTGAGGCATACGTGACAAGAATGTGTTCTATTTTTTGAATGCTGCCCGGCGGAGTTGAATCTCGCCTATTCTGATAATGAATCCTAGGTAAAATATATTCATCAGCAACTTCGATCGTAATATTCCCAACAATTACCGGCACTGGTATGATATTATGGACATCATATCATCATAAATTTTTAAATTATAAGAAAATATACCTATATTTCAAATTCATACACGTAGATTAGACAGGAGTAAGATTATTTTGGCTATTCAAGAAACTTATTTTAATTACAACCATTATTATGAGAGCTAGAAATTGTATACAATGATAGCGAATGTATTATTCAAACAACTGGACATAGATCGACGGGCGAGGCTGCAGTGTTGTGGTATTGTGCCATTCAGAGGGTAGTGGAGCGTGGTGGTCAGTTTATATATGTTGCTGCTCCATTGTTCCCATAGCCATTGTCATGGGTTCGGTGAAAGTGAAGATGTGTCGCTTGCAATTTTTGATAGCTATTTGTTTATTATTTTTTATTTTAGACTGCAATGTAAGTAATTTTGATAGAGAATTTTAATTTAAGATTTTTATTACTGATAAAATATTTAATTAAGAAAAAAATATTTCGAAGACATGTGAAGTTCGCCAACACGCATTGGGGTAGCTTGGCGGACCTTTCCTTGCCCTAAAACCCACTCAGAAATGAGAGGAGTCCTGTGCACAGCAGTGGGACGTATATAGGCTGTAGCTTTAACTTTAAAATATTTCATATTTTATTATTCATACGTGGTAGAGCCATGCTGCAGCTATATTAATAGTAAAGTTATAGTATGAATGGGTCGGCTCGACCGGGGAAGGACCACGCTCTCATAGAATACCAGCGTAAAATAGCAGCTTAACGTTGCTGTGTTTCGTATGGTGAGTGTAGAGAACCGAAGACCATTTTTACTGGACAAGAGGCATTCCATCTTAGCCCTCACGGGTGACAACGCATCTGCATTTTGTTTCTTTATTGAGAATAGATGTAGATGTCACAGCAACCACTTACCATCAGGTGGACTGTGTGCTCGTTTGTCACTCTATCCTATAAGAAAATATAAATTTTTAATTAATTGCTACATTAACTGCATCGTATTTTTACCAATTAAAAATTAAAAATTTGGCAGCCGTTTTACAATATAAGTACCTAATGTAGACAGTTTGTATCACTTTAAAACTTGCGTGGTAAAAGTCGGTGATGATTAAGCAATATGAAGTTATATCTACTGAGTACAAATGGTATTCTTTTAGAACATCATTATTTCCAGTTTAAATTGAGTTAATGGTTACGTTTACTTTTAACGTTATTTTTCCACAGGCTCTGAACTGTCGCATAAAAACTGCACCTGCTAAAGAAAATGAATTGAAAAGAATATATTCGTCATGTTTAAGAAAGCAAGGACAGAGGAATAACACTAATAGTCAAAGAAATAATGGAGAACATAGCACTTGGAGCACTACTTGGGAATACACTCCTAAAACAACTTACGACCAGGAAAGGACAACTAACCAAAATGACAGAACAACCAATTCAAATGCGAGAATTACCAATAATTATAAACATAAGGATAGAATTGGAGTAACTGATGCAATGACAACAAGACATGACATTGACTACACTAGGGACGATGAGCTTGAAGAAAGCACTGACGGAGAATCGGGGGGAAGCGATATGAATCAAGGTTCATATAACAACGATCGACCTAACGGTGGAGAATACAAACTAGGTGACGATTATAATGAAGTAAGTTTACATAATGATTTCTTATATTTCGAACTCTACACATTGAATAAAACTACTTTTTCGGATGAAGTAAGTTGCAAAAAATTATCTTATCATATTTTTACACTGATATTTCTTAAAAGCTTTTACAAAATTTTTTTTTTTTTACTTCGCAAATATCCGCGTTATAAAATAAAATGATGTGTCTTACCTAGTATGAAGAAGCACCTCCCGCCCTCCCTCAATTGCGTGCACTATCCCCGTCACCACTAATCCCAGCACCGCTACTTCCAACACCACTACACTAGGCAAGACACACCACTGACGATAATACGACACGTGTTTCGCCTCTACACGAGGCATCCTCAGGTGATATAGACTCTACGGTGGCTAACCGCTAACGCTAGCGGTTAGCCACCGTAAATATACCATAAAAATTTTTGTAAAAGCTTTTATATAATGGATTTCCGCAAAGTAACGCCTGATTCTATTTACTGATATTTCTTTCCGGAGTAGACAGTGTTCTAAATAAGGGTAGAAATAATGATAAATAGACTGATAAAGGTGCAATACGTCTATCATTGCGATTTTCAGTCCGCTTGCCAAGTTTGATGAGAGGCTAACCGGGCGGCGTTTACTGCATAAAAACGTATGTCTCCGTTTTTTTTCTTGGATACGATACCATCTATAGCTACCACTTCCAAGTTTTTATGTTTTTTTATAAATTAAATATTTCAATAACTAGGAACCTTCTAAAATTACTAAGCTGCCCAGTTTTAGCGCCGTTATTAGAGATTTGGCATACTAATTGAACGAAATTATAAATAAAAGAAAAACATACATACCGACCGACAGCATTAGAGAAGGAAACAGGAAAATACGGAATGATGAATATGTAGTTTTTTCATAAGTATTATCAGTCCGCGCTGTCTCTCTCGGTTACTTAGCTCGGTCGTTTCACCAACACGCTTTAAACATGACAAACATTTCCTTGGCCTAAAACCCTCCCATAAAGCAGAGGAGGCCTGTGCCCAGCTGTGGTATATACGTCATATAGGCTACAACTTTATAATTACATATTTAATAATAAGTTCATTTTTCATCATATTATTATTTTTATTTGTTATATTTTTATAAAAAAAAAAATAGCAGCTCGTATTATCATTAATTTCATGTATAATATTTTTTCTCATCAGGACTCGCCTCAGTACGAAAATGATCGCTCATTATCCAAACTTTCCGAACGACAGAAGCGTGACAAGCGGAACGAGATGAACTCTGGACAGCGAAGCCAGTACAACCCTAATACAAAGAAACGTTCAGATGAAAATGAAAGTAGACGCGATGGAGAACAGGACTCGCATAACAATGACGCGGAAAAAAAATCTAAGAATATTCCATGTGCTTTACACTGTTTTATGGAGAGTTTGCAAATGGTATCTCAAAGAGAATTTATATTAACAACTTTAGGTCGTAGGGTTCGGTGCTGTAGGGGTTTGAACCTTGCACGGAAGAAGTGTTTGCACGGCTACCTTGTTCTATGGTATGTCCTATAAACAACTGTTCCGGGTCTGGATGTTTGTCCATATGCAAATTATGTATGTAAAACGTAACAGTCAAAGGGCGACCCTTTCTTTCTTCATCTTCATCTCTAAATGTCAATCGATCGTACTGAAATTTGTTACACAAGCGGTACTCGGAAGCTGTAGGAGAGCTATGAATCCATGAATGCTATTTGAAATATTTTAAGCGATTCGTCCAGTTTGAGGCGACATTTGAAAACGTAAAAAAATATACGAGTATTATGCAAGAATGTTCCCGACGCAGATCCGATTCTGAATCAAACACGATGTTTCAGTTTATGTCGTAAAAATTTGGAACAAAATTTGAGAATATAAAATTCCCGATTCTTCTTGGCAATAATTCAATTTTTAAAATAAATTATAACTGGCCAGAGACTCATACAAAAACTTATTTCTCAAAACTTTCTGTGTATCTTTACGTACACTGCTGCTTTAAGAAATTCAAATCATCATCATTACAGCCCTTCTCAAGTCCACTACTGAACATAGGCTTCCCCCAAGGAATGCCACAAAGCACGGTCCTGAGCCACCTGCATCCACCGACTTTCTGCATGTCTTACCAGGTCGTCACCCCAAGTAGTGGGGGGCTGCCCTACACTTCGCCTACCGGTACGATGCTGCCACTCGAGAACCTTTCTTCCCCTTCGGTTCTCAGTTCTTCGAGCTATGTGGCTGGCCCATTGGCACTTCGGCTTACTAATTCGTTTGGCTTTTTCGATTACTCTGGTTCTATATCCTCAGGCAGGAGTTAAATGGCCTAAGCATGTTAATAAATGTGCACTGTCCATAAGCTAATAATGTTATAATTTATTTCGTAGACCGACGATGCCGGAATGCCTAATAAGTATTTGGTTACGCAAGCAATCACAAAGGATATACAAAATGAAGAGCTGAAGGACTTCCTTCAAGAATCTACAGATGAATGTTTTGAAATGTTAAGCGGTATGTTAACATTTTCACTGTCCGGTTTTCAGACACAATATTAAGACAATAGGAATGACCTATATATATTGCACGGGACAGAGAAAGGATCAATATTTTTGTATGTAAACACCACATAAAATTTAAATACCCCACAATCTATACTTTAGACTAAAGACTACTTTACTTTAATCATCACAAAAATTAACTGGCATAGAAGCTTACAGTCCATCAAATGGTAAGTGGCTACTCTGTTCATTGCCACATTCAATTGGTTGCAGGCTGCAACTGTTTGACGATTACGATCCGTTACCGTTTACAATCCCAGTACCAAAAGATTTTTCTGACATTTCTCATAGCCTTCTCCTAAGACACCTGCAGGACGATATTCCAAACTCAGGTCTGATTCTAGAATTGGCGTATATAACAAAAATAAAGTAACGGGGAATAAAAGATAAAGTGGAAGTTGATCCCTGTGTGTTTCAAATTGTCTTTTCTCAGTTATGAAAGTTTTTTTTTTTTTTAGCATTTCAAATACCGACTAATTTGTTTTGTCGACAAAGCCAGTGACAAAAATTGAACTAATTGATTTTTTATATTTCATTTGTTTTTGGTATTTTAGGCACATAATTCTATTATATTTTTTTTTATAGGATAGGGTGACAAACGAGCATACAGTCCACCTGATGGTAAGTGGTTACTGTTACCCATAGACATCTACATATATCCTCAATAAAGACTCAAGATGCAGATGCGTTGTCACCCGTGAGGACTAAGATGTAATGCCTCTTTGCCAGTAAAAAGGGTCTCCGGTTCTCTACACTCACCATACGAAACACAGCAGCGTTAAGCTGCTATTTTACGCTGGTTTTCTGTGAGAGTGTGGTCCTTCCCCGGTCGGGCCGACCCATTCGTGCTACAACTATACTACTAATATAGTTGCAGCATGGCTCTACCACGTACAAAACGGTTAACATTTAATCACCAAATTATTTTTGTTATAGCAAATAGAGGGGATAAATGCGAATTTTCGAAGAATCTACTTATGTGCCTTTCAGACAAGGGCAAATCTAACTGCGATGATTGGAAGGACGACGTCCAATTTTAAAATGATTTCTTTTAAATGAAGCTATGTGAAATTGAGTCTAATAAATCATAAATTAAAGATACTCTTTGTTTGTTTTATTATGGATTTTGGGGGTCATTGTAGAAGCGTGCTCGTCGCGACCCCTGCCAGCCCTTTTCAGGGCTGCAATTCTACTCAGCTGCGCACCCATGTCAACGAGGGTTAGGGCGTCCCCCCAAGGCGACGCACACCAGCTCGTCCCCGTTGGTGTGGAATGCAGCGCGCAAAGCGGCGATGGGGACCGCCACCCGTCACGCACAGCCCGACACGGCGGAAGGTGGAGGACGGAGTGCAGAGTTGGCACGTGGAATGTTAGAGGAGGCATGAGAGATAAGACGAATGAGTTGATCGAAATAATGAAAGAAAGAGAATTAGATGTCGTGTGTATGTCGGAGACCAAACGGAAGGGCAGTGGTACTGAAGAGCTCCCTGGCGGGGCGTTAGCTCTATGGTCCGGAGTCCCGGAGAGCGAGAACGCCTGCCAGGGAGTGGGGGTGCTGCTGTCTTCTCGGTTGGTCGATGTTATGACTGAATATAAGTTTGTGAACTCAAGACTTCTCTGGGTTCGCTTTAAATTGGGACTGACGAAGTTATTCCTTTTGGCTGTTTATGCGCCGGTGGCTTCGTCGTCCAGGGCTGAGCTGGAGGAGTTTTGGGAGAATGTAAGAGAAGTTCTAGATTTGGCTAGGGGAAACGAAAGGATTGTTGTATGTGGTGATTTGAATGGATGGGTTGGTACCGCTCGACCAGGGTACGAGTCGGTACTTGGAAAGTTTGGCGATAAAAGGGTTAATGATGCTGGCAAGCTTATACTGGCGGTATGCAAGGAAAAGGGTCTTCTTGTGACAAACACTATGTTTAATCACAAGAAAATCCATATGTATACTAGAGAAAGAAAGAATGAGAGAAGTATGATCGATTTGTTCCTGGTGGATGACCGACTGCGAAAACAGGTTATGGATACGCGAGTGTTCAGGGGTGCTGACCTGGGAACGGATCACTATCTAGTGATTACTAGATTTAGGGGTCTGTTCGCGGGTTGGCGCTACCGGACGACAGTGACAGAACCACAGTCGGTCTGTCGCATCCGAAGCTGGAAGCTTCAGGAAGCGGATACTAGGGACAAATATCATGCGAGGGTAGCCGAAAAGCTTGACACCATCGATGGCAGAAACGAATGTGTAGAAAGAACATGGCAGAACCTTAGGGATGGAATGGTAAGTGCAGCGGAAGAAGTGTGTGGAACAATAAAAAGAGGCAGTAGTAAAAGAAGAGATGCATGGTGGAATGATGAAGTGAAAGAAGCTGTAAAGAAGAAGAAGAAAGCATGGTTAGACTACTTGGCCTCTAGTAATGATAAGGATATGAGAGAGAAGATGAAAGAAAGATATAAGCTGCAGAAAGTTCACACGAAAGCATTGATTGAGGAAGTGCGTGAAAGGTGTAGAATGGAAGCGGATGAAAGGTTGTCGCACAACTTTAAGGAGAACTCCAAACTCTTCTGGAAAGAGGTTGGAAGGACCCGAAGTGGTGCGACGGCCTTAAGAATGAACAAAGTGCTTTCGAGAACTAATGACGTCCTCTCAGAAAAATCGGACGTCATGCAGCGATGGAGCGAATTTTATAGAGAAATGTATGCGTGTGATGATCTTAGTGAGGGATCCGGGGATGATGCCGTGACTGGCACGCCAGACCCGGACCTCGATGACACCGAGGTCATCAGTATGAAAGAGATTGAACGTGCGATTCGAAGTTTGAAATGTGGTAAGGCTGCGGGACTAGACAGAGTTACTGCTGAAATGGTCAAGTATGGTGGGCCTCGCGTCTGGGACAGCTTTCATCTGCTGTGCAATTTGTGCTGGCGGACGGGGGATGTCCCGGATGATTGGCGATCCGCAGTCATTGTGCCTTTATATAAAGGTAAAGGTTCACATTTTGACTGCGGGTGCTATCGGGCGATCAGCTTGACCAGTTTAGCAAGTAAAGTTTACTCGAAGGTTTTGACACGTAGAATGCAAGAGAAATCGGAAAGATTTCTATGGGAGGCACAATGCGGATTTAGACCTGGAAGAGGATGCACGGATCAAATGTTTTCTCTCCGTATGATCACGGAAAAGCTTCTGGCTGTTAACCAGAGGATTTTCTGTGCTTTTGTGGATCTTGAGAAAGCATTTGATAAGGTTGTAAGGAAGAAAATGTGGGAACTGTTGCCGGGGTATGGTGTGGATGGCCGATTGCTAAGGGCTGTGCAGTCTCTTTACTGTGACTGTAAAGCCTGTGTGCGGGTAGGGCATGACCTGTCACCCATGTTTAGCGTCCAAACGGGCGTAAAACAGGGTTGTGTCATGTCTTCCTGGCTGTTCATACTGTATCTCGACAGCTGTTTACAAAAGCTGAAAGATAGCTGTTTGGGTGTGAAATTGGGTGACATAAAAGTAAACTGTCTGCTGTATGCTGATGATGCAGTGCTTATTGCACCATCAGAGGCAGAACTGCAGGCATTAGTCACGTGTATGAAAGAGGAATGTGAAATTAAAGGTCTCCGTTTGAATGCTAATAAAACTAAGGTTCTGGTATTTGAAAGGGACGAAGAGAGAACGAAGTGTGAAATATGGGTAAATCAGGAATGTCTAGAACAGGTAAATGAAATTGTATACTTGGGGAGTGCTTTTAGCCGGGATGGAAGATGTGATTTAGATGTGGACAGGCGTGTCGCTGCCGGGAACAAAGTCAATGGTGCCCTGACTGCGTTAGTCAAAAGGCAAGGCGTAGCGAAGAGTGCACGCCTTGCAATACATAACGCAGTGTTGGTACCGACTTTGTTATATGGCAGCGAAACCTGGGTATGCCAGAAGAAGCATAAAAGTAAGTTGAATGCAGTGGAGATGCGATCTCTTCGTAAAATGTGCGGCGTTACTATGGCCGACCGAAAGCGAAACGAAGAGATTCGCAATATGGCAGGTTTGAAAGATGACCTTATCACAAAAATTGATAAGGGCGTGCTTCGGTGGTTTGGGCACGTTGAGCGAATGAGTGAAGACCGAATGGTGAAGAAAATATATAGCGCGAAAGTTAATATTAAAAGGTGTCGAGGTAGACCGAGACTAACTTTCGAAGACCATGTGAGCAAATTGCTCGAAGAGGGTAGGGTCAAGAGTACTCGGATACCTAGACGTGCATGTATGAAGAAGATAATGAATCTGAAAGAAGCGAAAGAGATATGTAAGGATCGTGACCCTTGGCGATCTGTTCTCTCTGGCTACCCCGTCAGGGATTGTGCGTGAAGATAAGTAAGTAAGTAAGTATTATGGATTTTTATATAAAATAAGAATAAGCAAGAACGCAGTCCAAATGGAGAGTACACCTGTGGTGTGTGCGTAATAAAATTCAGTTCTGCGCAGATGGCTAGTCTCTGTTTGTCTGTCTGTCTGAAGGACATTATTATTATAAGTATACTCGAATTTTAATAAAAGTGAATATTAAGGGCTGAGTAGGCTAAGTATTTGCTTACCTCGAGTCTTTCATCGTTTTTCACTGTCATTCGCTCTATTTCTTTTTGCTTCTTATAGCTTCTAAAATCTCGGTCTTGTATATAAGTGATCAGTATTAGCTTTAGTTCTGCTCTGTCTTGGCTGTCCGTTATCTCCAATTCTTCTCCTTCCCAGTTCTCTAAGAGAACGTTCTTTTGGTAATCATATTCCGATTGTAGTTTATCGAGACGTTGTGTTCCTATTTCTGTAAATGAAGTCATGTACTTAATTTCCATTGTTACAAAGACTTCTCTGCATACTACGCGATAGGTTCTGCAGCCTTAATACATTGCACAATTAGTACAGTCAATTCTCCGTAACTTTTTTAGTCGAATGCGAGCGGGCGGGAAGAGAAGACTAGTTATTTGTTTTGTAAAACGTTTTCGACAATCTAACACTGATTTTGTTAATGTCTAAGAAAACGTTGCCACTATTTATGTGCGCATTTCGCGAACGTGATCTAAAGTTTCTTTTAGAAGAGTATGTAACTTTATTTCGTATTAGCTGTCCCCCGCGACTTCGCCCGCGTGGAATTTACTACGATTTCATGGGTTTTTTTTTGCGCGAATCTCCATTTTTTTTTGAATAATAGTATCCTTAGTTATTCCTTATAACATCGGCTACCTGCCAGTGAAGGTCCCCTTAAAATCGGTCCAGCCGTTTTGGAGATTAGCCGGAACAAACAGACAGACAGATAAAATTTTTAAAACTTGTTTTTGTTATTAGTATCGTGTATATTTCACATAAATTTAGTAAAAAGTTGTTATTTTAACATTACAAAAAACACTTCAATTTTATTAATTTTTAATTTACCGGTGCAGTAGTAGGTATACATAAGAAGTCTTTGCATTGTTACGATATTTTACATTGCAAGCATTATTCGCTAAATGGTAGGTCGCGGACCGTGAACTTAAAATTCGTAGGTTCAAATACAGCATTGTACTATTGTCGTGAACCACTCCTATTGCGCGCAATTCAAGCATTAACAAGTGGTTCTTTTTTAATTGTCCAAAATATTTATTTATTAATACACGAGATAAGCGTTTATAGTATTAGTCACGTACTGATTTGATAGATTCTGTCTCTAAAGCAGCTTATCAAAAATTATGTTTAAATTAAAATATGCCTATAAAATTACCGTTTCGTCTGGGATAATATAAATATGTTTTAATAATTCAAAATATGTATTTGCCTAAGTTTTATCTTACATAGTTTTAAATATGTCTTACAAATTTTTCCTATTTTATGGGCAATCTGTTGACGCTATCTGTTCTTGTTATAGCTGCATGAGAAAATCGATGAAATATTTAAAGGTGTATCTTACTGCTTTTTCGAAATTGAAGTCTGCGGGAAATTGAGGGCAGATGAACACTCTTTGACACGGACGACGCGGAACAACTTACAATTGTTAAAAAAATGCGTTCTGTTACTCAGGATTGAAATAAAAAGTGT